CGGGGCTGGGGCTAGGGCTGGGTGACTCCTCGGGGCTAGGAGAGGGAGAGGGTGACTCCTCGGGGCTGGGGGAGGGAGAAGGTGACTCCTCAGGGCTGGGGCTAGGGCTGGGTGACTCCGCGGGGCTGGGGCTAGGGCTGGGTGACTCCTCGGGGCTGGGAGAGGGAGAGGGTGACTCCGCCGGGCTGGGCGATGGGCTGGGACTGGGGCTGGGCCCTTCTCCAAGAGGAGGACTAGCAGAGGGCCCAGGGCTGGGGGAGCCTTCGGGAGCGGGCGCTCCGTCAGGCGGAGACGGTGCAGCAGCTGTGGTGTTTCCAGACACTTGGGCAGTGGAAGGACCTGAGGCAGAACCTGATGTGGTCTGGGTACTCCCAGGGGCTTCCGATGTGCTACTTCCAGAAGCCTGAGGGGTTGGACTATAGCAATTAGACCTTGCCACAGGACTCTCAATTCCCAGGAATCAGTGAATCCCAAATCTACCTCAATGCGTCGCAACTCACCGTGGCACCGGATGCGTCTACAGCTGCTGCTCCAGATGCATCAGCGCTGACAGGTCCAGGCTGGGACGACTCGGAGAATGCATTGTAGTCGGACGAGGCCAGCCTTCCAGGCCCTGCTGCAATTCCAGAGAAGCTGCCGGATGCCTGTGCTGGGCGAGTGCCATCGCTGTCCGCCTACAGAAGAAGGATGCGGTGAGCATGAGGTGTCGACCAGATTAGACGGCAAAGTGCGCGTGAGTCCGACCACTGAAGTTGGGTCAAAGATGGAGACCATCTTTGCCCGTACATATTATCCAGGAAGGCTCCCATTCCGAGGAAACCTACCGATCCACGACCGAATCCGTCAACACTCGATCTGTCTCCACTGCTGGTGGCCGTCAGCCCAGCCTGAGCTCTTGCATTGTTGCCTGAGGCCGAGCCCGTGACTCGTCCGGACGCGCTGTAGCCAGGAGTTGTGGACGTCGATCCCGAGCCTTCCACCGTGCCGTCAGATGAGCCTGACAAATTAACAGTTCCCAACAATTTCCTGCGCGTGGCAACAGAATTGGCAGGTGTGGAAGCAAGTTTGGGTTGTCGCATCTGCGGCGTGCACGTGCGCCCAGCCTGACCTTGTTTATGGATCCTCGATCACCACCAGATCGACAGGTGATGAGGCAGAGGCGGGAAACAGATACTTTCCCTCCGAACCATCTGCAGAGTCACAGACTCACCTAGACAAGGCCGAGGTTGCCGAAGCCGGTGCCGCAAAAAGCAGACATGCCACCATGAGGGCTATGGAGCCATGGTGCATCATGGCGATGGACACTGAGTGTCAACACAGATACAGGGAGGGGAGATGTATGACAATAAAGGCTTACCACTCTCTGTTGGGTTTGCGCACCCTATGTAGTCCAGCCGAACACCGGGAGGAGGGCGATCTTGGAGGACGTGAGGCGCCCCGCATGGGACCTGCCGAGTCCGCTCCGGCGATCATGTGGTCCTAATGGTTTCCCTGGCCAGAATCTGGAGCCGAGACCACTCGCCTGCCGATTCCAATTGGCCAGTGTTCCCGAGGTGCGTTGAAAGAGGGTGCTCTGCGCTCCTGGGTTCTGCTAGAGTCCAGGCACAACGATATCGATTGGCTCGCGACATTTTCTGGCAGTCGGGCTCCGGATGGAAGATTCTGGTGGCAGCTTCGAGATAGTGGCCAAGATTGTCACACACATGTTATTGTGGCGCCGCACATCCTGTCACACTCAATTTAACTGCCTCATTGTGGCACATAATCACCCGGGGCTCGCGGTGGTGGATGAGTCGACAGGCAGTATTCGCAAGATCCGCCGCGCGGTGAACCCAACTTCCAAGAAAAACGAGCACCTGGGCTCGAAGCATACGCCTCAGGATATCGGGGTGCAGCAGTTGATCCAGTTAGCTAATTACTTTGCGCGATTACATCTACTACTGTCAGCGCAAGGGTGGTGCGATTGGTGAAAGATAGCCGCAGCGCCTGCGTTTCACCCTGAATCTTCATTCCGCGGCGTGGAATGTTTGGTTTCGAGGGGGAGCAGGCGTTTGCGCGAGCCTTGTAAATCGAACCAGCCCAGGCGAGGGTCCTCCATGACGAGAAAAAACGTCCATGGCGGGGCGCCCCTGGGCGCCCCGCAGGGCAGGGGAATCGCCGACGAATACTACCGGTGAGTGGTCCGTGGCTGTACCACTGGGGTGTGTGCTGCTAGGGATGGTTCTCCTGGCTTGTCGACATTTTACTGGGATTGTCTGGGACGCTTGCAAGTGGTGCGGGAGTGTTGGCTGCTCTGTTTCTGGAAGCGACAGTGGTTGTGGTGTTTACCAGCAGCGAAGTGGGCCACCCTACGCAACCACCCGCTCACCCGCCAACCACCCACACGTGCCGCGCTCCCACAACACAACTCACCCCATACCACCACCCCCCCTACACAAAATTTGCAGGCGGGACCGCCCGCCGGAGGATGCCAAGGTACACATGTATGTTGGCATCGACCCCGGGCGGACCAAGATGTACACCGCGGTGGACGAACACGCCAACGTGACATCTTGCTCCTCCAAGGAGTTTCACGCCATGTCGGGCTCCAAGCGGCGGGAGGGGCTCATTGCGAAGTGGCACGCAAAGGCCCCGGACTATGTCAAGGAGCTGCACCAGTGAGTGGTGATTGGTTTGTGGAGTGTATGCAGGGGTATGCCTTGCAGGGGCGGGCACTGTGTCACGACACCCTGCATCGCTCCAACCGTATCACCAACCCTCGTGCTCAAACCCATCTTCCCGCAGGTGCCCGACCTACAAGACAGCGAGCACAGCGGTGCTCCTGTCGCGGGTCGTGAAGATCGTGCCAGACCTGCGAGAGGGCCTGGCCTGGCACCGGGACGGGAAGCCGTTTCGCAAGCTCCGCCACCAGGCCTACGTCGGCAGGCAGCGGGCCATCACCCGGCTGGCGGAGCAGTTCCGCGCGCCCCCCGGCATGACTACGGTCGTGGGCGTGGGCAACTGGTCGGCCCAGGACCGGGGGGGCATCATGCGGGGGCCCCCGCCGGGGCCTTGGATCCGCTTCTTGCGGCGCCTGCGGCGGGTGTGCAGGGTGGTGGTGGTTGACGAGCACAGGTCATCAAAGCTGTGTTGCGCCTGTCACGCCACCCTGCACGCCCACCAGTACGTGCGGGTCCGCCGAGGCGAGGAGAAGCTGGTGGACGTGTGGGACACCAAGCGGTGCGGCAACAAGGCCTGCAAGGTCAACGTCGTCAACCGCGACGTCAACGTAGCAGCCAACATCCTGATGCTGACCAAGTGCTTTTTTGCTGGTGCACTTCGTCCCACTGCATTTGGCGTAATA